GGAAAGAGCGTGGTATCGCTTACATTGTGATTTTCTGGGTCCATTTTTTGACAGAATGTATCTAGTAGTAATTAACGCATATTCAAAATGGCCAATAGTGATCGATTTTAATAAAAACACAAGAAGTTCACGATTAATTAACGAATTCAAAAAGTTATTCGCTGACTATGAGTTACCAAATCAATTAATTACCGACAACGGTAGACAATTCGCGAGTGCTGAGTTTCAAGAGTTTCTGAAACGTAACGGTATTAAGCACAACTTTTCCCCACCTTACCATCCGGCAACGAACGGCGCAGCCGAAAATTTTGTCAACACGTTCAAATCTAAAGTAAAAAAAATTGTAGAAGGGGGAGAGAAGTTGGCAGACGCGATTAATCTTTTTCTTTTCGATTACCGCAGTATCAAGCATTGTACGACAGGAGAAAGTCCTGCATTTTTATTGTTTAAGAGGGAGCTAAGAACACGGTTTGATTTACTTCGACCAGACGTAAGGGATGTTGTATTGAAAAATCAGCGCTCGCAAATAGTCGCTAGGCGAGGTTCTCGTAAAGCGTCATTCGCAGATGACGTGATGGTCGACAATCACGGTGTCCACGGTGCAAACAGAATCGAAAGGTAAGATAAAAGGGAAACTATCTCCCTCTACGTACTCCGTCGAAATCGTACCAGATGTTGTATGGAAGCGTCATGCCGACCAAATACTCAAAAAAGGCAACCCTCCATTGCGGCGTTCTTCGCGTATCGCACAGCGAAATAATGTATAAGCGCATTCATTTAAAAAGAGGAGGAGTTGTAGTGTATCGAGAGTTGGTAAGAGCGTTACACGCTCCACGACTCGTCACTGCGCGAGGCGCCGGGCTGAGCGTGCGACGTACATGCGATGTACACTCTAGTCATAGCCGGCTACCCAGTCGCACGTATTGTACAACAGCAATAACACACACATATATATATATATATATCGCATAGTAAGAAGTACTCCAGTTTATTACCCTTGCCCACAACATTTCAAAAACTATCCGTGCTATTCGCAGATTTTCCAGAGATAGCAAAGAGAAATTTTCCTTCTCTTGCCGACTGATGACAGTCAGCGGATAAGCGTATAATTTTATGCTTTTTTAAACAATGTGCAAAACACGAACGCGTCGCAAAGGGCCATTGTACTAATTAAATTAATAAAGAGTGAATTTAATATTGACTAAAATATTTACTTTATTTCTGTTTTATATATGTGATAATACGCACGTTCAAAAAGTAAAATTATAACAATTAACAAAAACTTTCAATCTAAAAAATCTTAAAATAGTATAACTTAAATATCTAAATAATTTTAAATTCTAAATATATATATACACTTCTCAACAAAATGAAAGCATCACTTACTCTACCCTCCAAAAATAGGCAAATTTCAAGAGAATGTAACTTTGTCAAAAATGATCGTATCGAGATGTTCAAAAAAGAATTTTACAGTTTGAAATCTCTACTTTCCAAATCGGTACTTGAGAAAACGATCCTACTGATGTTTCATGGAATTACAGATCGGAAGAGCACACGTCTGAACTCCAGT